TGATTCTCTCCACAGCATCCTGAAGTATACTGAGGGATTCGGCGTACGAGATTCGAATGCAGGTGTCGTCACCGAATGCATCCCCCGGAACTAGAGCAACCTGAAAAAACAGCAGCAGATAATGATATTACACTGAAATTCTACAAGATTTTTGCTTTTAGAAACAAATGGTAGAAGCAAAATGGCTGACATACACACAAATTTCATCAAGAACTTTACCTGGCCCTTCTCAAGCAGATATCTGCAAAGTGACTCTGAATTGTTGATTACACCAAATCCTACAGCTTCAGCTCCGTAGTAAGAGCTGAAATCTAGGAAGAGGTAGAAAGCTCCCTACAACGAGTTATAGAATCTTCAGACATTACAATAACAACACAAATTATAAAAGAAAAGACCGAGAAGGGTCGACAAGGAATGCGCGAAACAAGAAAATCTTGAAGTTGGCACCTGAGGTTCTGAAATCTTGACACCTGCAAGTTCACCAAAGCTTTTGACCAAATAATCACGACGTTCTCGGAATGCTTTCACCATTGTAGCAACAGCTTCACCCCCAGCATAACCCATTCCTAGAGCTGCAACGGCTGCTTTTTGGGATATGCTACTGGCTCCTGAAGTAGACTATCATAACAAATATACAGAGTAAGCTGAAGATGGAAAAAAAAAAAAAAAACGTTCTGAAATTTAACAAGTCCATCGGCAGATTGCAGCAAATTTTCTAAAAAGAGGACGTGAAATTATTGCATAAACATGTTGGTTCTTGTGGCTGAGGGGCATAATTCAATGTCTCAAGTAAAAGCTAAAAGATTTCCACTAGGCATCCATCCCCTTTACACTTTATGTTGCCTAGAGGCTTCAACACAATGCGCAAGAGTTGAAGGACAATTGAAGATTGCCTTACCAAGCTAAAAATTGTAAGAGATTAGAAATACTAAAGTTTTAACATACCTGACTCTGGATTTTTCCACATGCAGAAACAAAGTGCTTAGGACCAGCAATATATCCAAGTCGCCAACCAGTCATTGCAAAGGCCTAAAACATTACATCTTCAAATGTTAAGCAATCGTGTTGCAAAAATATGGAAATCAAAAACGAACTTTGACATAGCTGGTAGTAATAAAGATCAGAAAACAAAATTTCAGTTACCTTAGAGAACCCATTAACTGTCAAAGTCCGTTCCCACATGCCTGGTAGAGATGCAAAGCTTGTATGAGTTGCTGGAGCATAAATTATGTGTTCATAGATTTCATCAGACAACACCTGCAAGAAAGTAAAGATGATTTAAGACAAACAGTCCAATAAGTGAAATTCAACACAGCTAAAGAAACCTCACCAGAAGTCTAGGATGTTTAGCGACAATTTCAGCAATCTTTTCCAGCAATTCCTTTGGGTAAACTGATCCTGTTGGGTTGGAGGGAGAACAAAGAATCAGCAGCCTCGACTTCTCCGTGATCTTTGCTTCAAGAAGCTTTGGATCCAAGAGAAAGTTAGCCTCAATACTCGTTGGAAGAATCACAGGAGTTGCATCAGCCAGCCTTGCCATTTCTGGGTAACTTACCCAAAATGGAGCTGGAATTATAACCTGAGGGGAAAAGGATAGAGGAAGTACATCACAGACATGGCCACAACAAAAGCCAAATGAACAATTCTACAAATGGATCGAGCCCCATTACACTATATTGGTATTGGTATTGGTAAAACATGGCTTATTGCCTCAATATTTCCCCAAGAATAAGCACGTTGAATCTAGATTGAACTATAACCTACTGTCAGATTGGTATGGAGCTATTACATTCATCACAAGATCAAGAAAACCTGTACCTCATCCCCTGGAGAACAAACAGCAACGACGGCTTGCAGAATACTCTGTTTGGCTCCATTACTGACCAATATTTGATCTGGTGTATATGAAATCCCATTCTCCTCTAGAGACATGAAGAGAACCAAGAGCTTGCATCATAGATATGAAGCTAGTATACAACTCAACCACATCTATAAAAACTCGTCCTCTAAACACAACTAACCTTTCAGCTTATGGCAAATTGCTTGGCGGACTTCCAACGTTCCTGCATTGGGCGTGTATCGAGTGTATCCATCCCTAATTGCATTGATTCCAGCCTAACATTCAATTGGCGGTAACAAAATCAACTACCACATGTAGAAATGTGAAAACATACAAGCATCAAAAGAAAGTTAGAACAACAAACAAGGGAGTTGTAGCTTAAGATAATACCTCAACAATTGGGGCAGGAGTATCAAAATCAGGTTCACCGGCAGCTAACCGAATCACAGGTACACCAGCTTGCACAAGAGCTGTAGCCTGATCGGTTATAGCCACTGTTTTGGAAGGCTTTACAGAATTCACTCTTGGGCTCAAAGATATGTCCACGCTGACATTGCCAGAAACATGTCCAGCCATTACTGGCTTCACTTTCTTAGTATATTGCACAGACCTATTATCAAACGGAAAGCTTTAAGGGACAACGAAAAAGAGAGATAACAACACATTCCCAGCAGTTATAATGGAAGATAAAAATGACCCAACACGACGCAGCAGAAGAATTCAAATTACAAACTACAAAATCACACAAACACTTGGTTCAAAGAAGCAACTTGATAAACCATCAATGGAAAGGGATAAAAAAGAAGAAGACATAAGCGGGTAGAGCATACTTGAGGGACGGAGCAGGAAGGCGGGAGGGGAAAGAAATGGATCCAAAAGCAGTGTCTGAAGCAGAATCAGCTCCGGGAAATTGGTATCTGAATCCGAGACGAGAAGGATTAGGTAAAGTGTGCAAGGAATTAGCCATACCAAGACGGAGGTGTCCCGATTCTGTAAGGACCAAGTAAAAGAAAGACTGGAAAGAGGAAGGGGGGGAGAGAGAGATTTAAGTACCGAAAAGCCGCGATGAGAGATGAAGGAGGAGGAGGAGGAGGAGGAGAAAAATGAGTTGGTAGAGGAGAAGGGGAGTTGGTGGAAATGGCGGCTGTCGGAAATTTCGATCCAAAGGCGGAGTTAGGTAGCGCTGGGTTAGTTGCCGTAGTTGAATTCAGACGTCAAAACGAACCCAATTTCTCAAATCCATTTTTTTATATATATATATATATATATTTTTTTTTTTTAAGGGTTAAAATACGATGAAAATGGACATAATGGGATAAAATAAACAATTTCTTTTTTTTTTTTTTTTTTTTTTTTTTTTTTTTTTTTTTTTTTTGTGATAGTAGATAATACTACCAGGTCAATTTTTATCTTTTATTTTAATGAAAAACAATTTCAAAGAGTAAAAATATATTTTTAAAAATAGTAAAAATTAAAATTTTCGAAATCTACCTCCATAATTGAGATCTACTTCAAAATTCAAGGGACATTTGTGTACTTTAACGTTAATTATAAATAATTTAGTCCAATTTGTAAAATTGTTTAAATATAAAAATAGACAACAAACAAAACATGACGGTTTTCTCAAATACTAAATTAAAATAATCAAATTTAACCTGATTCCATTAGATTTCTCAATTTGGTATTTTTTTAATCTCCACTATATTAAAAGTCAAATTATTATAATTGTATTTTAATCTAGGTTAAATTTTAATTTTTCTAAATTCCATTGGAGTTAAACTCATTACTAAAAAAAAATAGAAAGATAGTTTAAAGCTTGGGACATAACAAAAAGTATACATATATATTCTTGAGTGGGTAAGTAAGAACTATTACTATTTAAATGTTCTAACCAACATCGTTATTTTATTTTATCATTATTTTTTTCTACATTAATCTCAATTCAAATTCTTGATTTTTTTTATTTTTTAACGCTTTAACCTACTTTTTTGAACGCAGGGTTGCTATCAAAATAAATAAGCATGATCTCGAGACATTAAAAACATACTTCGAGCTATAATACCTTTTTGAACACATGGATGCTATCAAAATAAATAAGCACGATCTTGAGGCATTAGAAACATACTTCGAGCTATAATAACTTATCACGATGCAAGTATAAATAAGCTTGACATTTTAATGGTATTAGGATAAGAAAGATTAAGCAATGCATTTTTAGGCTTCCAGAGATCCGAAATTTCTTCTAGTGTCATCTACTTGTCATAATTATAGGGGAATAAACTAATTTCATGGGGTGAAGTTTATGTTCCAGACTTTTTATTTTGTTAAATTCATAAATTAGCAAGTTTATTCACTCGTAGATAACAAATTTTCATAGACACGAGTCTATAACTCACTAGATTAAAATTGAATGCACGTGATTATCTTATAAAATATTAATCTTCTTAGTTAATGGATTTATAAATAGAGATTAAATATTTTATACTTATACAAACTCAATGTATATAATACTTTACTATACTCATATATCTCCACAATAATGATTTGAATCAAATCATTTAAAACTATAAACAAATTAGGGTATATCAATAATGTTACGAAGATAAGACATTCAATCTTATCTGCCATATGCTATAAACTCTTGTCTATAAACCACACATTATTCCAGACCAGTATACATAAAGTTGATGTCTTTAGTATTTCTCCAATTTGGATCCGAGAATCTGAAATAAGATTTCAAATATATATTTGTTAACCTACATTCACTAAACTCGATAAATCCAAGAACATTGTCTATCAAACACCACGGTAAGTTTCAAAAATAACAAAATAATTCAAATATTAAAAAAAGAAAGATGGAATTTATTTCTTCGTTGAAATAAATAATATTGTAAAGGGGGTGAAGGATATTATTAATTGACATATATATAGTATTCAGAGCATAGTATTAATTTAACATAATCCAAGTGTCACATAAATATGAGGTTTGACAAGTAAAGAATATAATTCAACCAATCAATTTCATAGCCTAAAATAATATAAATTTTCATCATAAGAACACACTTTACGCTGCCTTAGATTTTGAGAAAATGTCAGAAAATGCAAGATGAAAACACACACACACACACACACACACAAACACACATATAAAAAGTTCAAAAAGACCAAAAGAAGCCAAAAGTTTATTCTGCCGGTATCCTCTCACCCAGCCAGTGTAACAGACAAGAAAGCTTTGCTTTTTTTTGCTTCAAATTTTTATTAAACTCTAAATAAAAACAGAAAAAGATTGGTTTTTTTTTTTTTGGCTACATGATGAAGCAAGCATTAGGGTTATCATCACTGAACATGGTGACAAAGGAAGGGTCTTCAAACTTGAGAACAGAGGAGGCCACAGCATTGTCCTCTACATTTCTGACGTACCCAGGAGGGGCCTTCTTATCATAAGCTGGAGCAGCGTAGGGATGCGCCACTAAATTGTAGGGTACATATGGCCATATCTCTGCCTTTTTCCCTGTCGACTTTGCCTTCTTCAACACTTTGCTTGCTTCCACATACCCTGTCACTGTCACCTTCAGCTGCTTTCTGTTTATCTTCACCGATTTCACTCCTCGTAAGGAAGACAGAGCTTTTTTCACTTTAAGCTCGCACCCATCGCAATCCATGGCCACCTTAAGCTCAACGGTCTGCAACTGGTGGTGCTTATTGTTGCGTTTATGGCTAATGCACATCAAGTAATGCTCGGATACGTACTCCAACGAACCCCCAACCCCCATTTTCAATCTCTCTGCCACCACACACTATCATTCATCCAATTTATATAACAACAGGAAAAGAAGAGGAAGCTTCGTGATTGGAGAGCTTTAGCATACAATCTGCTTTCGCTAAAGTGAGATTTTAAAAGCCTTTTCTCGTCGCCTTCTTTGCCTTCAGATACTAACTTGGAAATTGTTCAACTTTCGTCCAACAAGTAGAAGTGGAACATTTTTTCTTTCTTTTAGTGATGGAGCGCATTGAAAATATGAACATAGATGATTTGCAACGAGTACGTCAAAGCTCTTGTGCTAAAAACCTCTCATTTTATATTTATTTGGAATCTAATTCTTCATGTCCCCCACTATCTATTCTTCAACTTTCATTGTTTTTGTAGCTTCTCAATTTGATTTTGCCATTGATATTTAGTAAGAATTGTAATAAATGCTCACAACATTTCGTATCAATAATACTGCTTCACACAAGCTTACAAATTAAAGAAAGCCTTCAATCAATTCATAAGTTATCTAGAATTATAATTGATAATTAGGAGAGATTGTTGAGGTTCATGTGAGCTTTCGGAGGAGCAAGAACATGTTCTGATCTACCCTGAATTTGGCACAGTGGAGGGGATCTCCCTTCAACATCATTTGAAGTCCTCCAAAAGATGCATAAACCTCTCTGTAAAATACACCCAATTCCGACATCAAAATATGTTTTATGAATCGAGTTAGAATCATGCATAAAGTACTTCCACTTAAACTTTTAGGAAAATCAGCAGCAGAAATGGGTGAGCAAAATCATGGCAATTCACTTACACTTTCAAGTCTGATCCTGAGCCTTCATCTGCGAGTTTGTACAGCTTCCCATGCATGATATACTCGAACTTATCTGCTAGTGATTTCTTCCCTTCCTGCAACAACTTTAAGCTTAGTTCAAAAATATTACTCCTGCTCCTACAGATTTCAATTATGTTCACAATCTTCACAGCTGAAGTTACGGGTTTGTGCTTGATATTAGTACCTATTCGGCACTTCTCATACTAAGAAACATTTGCATAATTTTGTTTTTAGAACATAAAGCTGTTTGCTTATAATCACGGTTCTGTTTTGTACTTTATGAAAAGTTTCTAGAAACGGTGAGATCCCACGTCGGTTGTAGAGGAGAACGGAGCATTCCTTGTAAGAGCGTTAAAACTTCTCCCCAACAGACGCGTTTTAAAAACTTGAAGAGAAGCCCAAAAGGGGAAGCCCAAAGAGTAAAATTTCTGCTATTGGTGGGTCTGGGCCATTACAAATGGTATCAAAGTCAGATACCGAGCGGCGTGCCAGCGAGAACACTGAGCCCCAAGGGAGATGGACACCGGACGGTGTGCTAGTGAGGACACTGAGCCCCGAAGGGGGTGGACATCAGACAGTGTGGTAGCGAGGACGTTAGACCTCGAAAGGAGGTGGATTGTGAAATCCTACATAGATTGGAGAGTTGAACGAGTGCCAGCAAGAACGTCGGGCCTCGAAGGGGGATGGATTGTGAGACCCCACATCAGTTGGAGAGGGGAACAAAACATTCCATATAAGGGTGTGGAGACCTCTCCCTAGGAGACAGGTTTTAAAAACCTTGAGGGGAAGCTCGAAAGGGAAAATCCAAAGAAGACAAATCTGCTAGCGATGAGCTTGGGCTATTTCAAATCGCTTGTAAAATCCTTCTCCAAAATTTCAGCATCAGAGAAAGATTGTGAAATCATTGGTCGTTTCTTTTAGAATCTATAAGATACATATGGATGCAGATATCTGGCAGCAAGGTGTTTCTGAGTGTTCTTTTAAACAATGAAGAGACATGAAACGACTACCAGATAGCTCCAGCATTGTATGAAATTCAATTAAACATTGAGGGGAGAAATATTACTTGACCACTATAGCTGGTAACAGGAGCTCCATCATAATTCAGCGTAGGAGACAGGACCATCAGAATCTTGTCACCTTCATCAATTGGATATATCTCTGTATTTACATCCAGCAGCATATACATGGAAAGCTTCTCACTCCGTGCTTCAATTCTAGAGACTATAAGAACAATTTTATGCACCCAATAAACATCATATCAAATCATCATTCACAGCAAAGTCAAGATGGTGCAGAAGTTACTGTCTACAAAAGGACTCATAGACAGTTAAAAGATCATAAAATGAGAATTAAAAGAATGAGAGAGCAGTTACGAGCTTCATGAAAGTACCTTTATCATACTTTTTACCATCTGGGTTGACGCACTTGACCTTGAAAATATCATCAAATAGAACCTCCGCCATGTTTATGGAGAATTTACTCCTACAAATGCAAATCTGAAAGCTAGGGAAAGAAGCTGCCAACTAAAATTGGGAATGAAAAAACTCACTCAACAGAGACACAACATTACATTAGATGGAGATTTGGAGAATACCAATAACAACAAGAGAGTAGAAAATCACTGCGATACCGCAAGGAGGCAAACAGCTCCGGAACGGGCAGAACAAAGACGACGGCGGCGGCACTGAGCCGGTGTGAAAAGACGAAGAAGGGGAGTTCGAGAGAGTGAGAATGTTTAGTAAGATGAAAGGGTTTAGGGTTTAACGTATATTTTAATTTAATTATCTTACAAAAGTTACTCTGTCTCTAAAATTTGACTAGGAACATTTTGAACTTTAGAATTATATCTCTAATAAATATGTTTGCTCAGTGTTAATAGTCTCATGGGAATGTGATATCAGAGGATGCGACCATTGTGTTTGCATATTCTATGTGTTCCATTGTAATATTTCAATAAGATTACAATTAAGGAATAATTAAAAACTTAAACGATATCCTTAAATAGTATTATAATCGTACAATCATATGAGATACACATGATAGAATAATGCACATATACTTTTGATACTCATATTGTACTCTACTAATAGATATTTTCATATTGGTTAGCACGGATAAAAAAAATTGGTGGTGATATGAAATAATGTAATAGCCATTAAAGAGTAAATATAAAAAAAAAAATTGATATTTTTATCGAAATTTAACGTTTTTTCTTTTTTCTTTTTTAAGTTTTGAAATGTATGCAAAAGAGTGCGTAATAAATAAATATATTTTTAAAAAATATAAAAAAAGTTACATTTTCATTTTTAGTAATTTGGCCAAAAGAACCAGAAAAGGAAGCAGGAAGGAATAATGGCGCTTAGTTTCTTTCACTGGGCACAGAGGTGAGGGGTATTTTCGACATTTCGGTAGCGAAATATTGGATTTCAATCGGACAGGTCTCTCCCATGCTTTGGATATCAATTTCACATCGAAGAAGCAAAAAACCCTAGAAGTCCCCAACCCCAACCAACCCCTTCCTCGTCTCTCTGTTTTCACTTCTACGCCAAGATTCTACTGATGAACTTGTGTTAAAAACAACACATTTCCATTTTTCTTTTTCAAATTTCATTTTCTTCTTCTGTTTCTTCTCTCGTCTTCGTTTGTTTTCAGGTTGCAGAGACGAGTTGAGGCTGTGGTTTCGTGGACCTGTTTGCTTCTGTACTATTGTATTTTTTTTTTTTTGGGAGTTGTGATTGATATATTGCAGTTTTTTGGGTTTCCTTGAATGGTTGCTGTGCTTTTTCCCTTTTATTCTCTAATGGTGGGGTTTCTTTTATGGAATTAGGGTTACAATTTTCCTTTCATTTCCTCCTCTAAAGTAATTGCTGGCCTGTTCCTTTTCCCATCCGCAGCGTGAAGCTATTTCCGTGAGTCATTTTCAAGTTTGTTTTCCATTTTTTTTTGTTCAAGTCTTCAATCATTTTTTCGCGTCATTGGGTATTTTTCGCCGATTCTTATCCCTCAGGGGTGTGTTTATTTAGCTCTTGCATGTTTTTTTTTATGAACTCTTTCTCGATGCTGACTTTGCTTCCTGACATTTGCCGTTCTTTCAGGTTTGAAATTGGAGTTGCTTCCTGACTTTTGCCATTATTTCAGGTCTAAAATTGGGGTTTTGGATTTAGCGAGATGTCTTCCAAATCGAAATATCCAATTCTCGAAAATCGACCGATTGATCAGTGGAGGGTAACGGAGTTGAAAGACGAGCTTAAGAGACGGAAATTGCCCATCAGAGGTCTGAAGGAAGATTTGATCAAACGGTTGGATGAATCACTTCGAATTGAAAGGGAAAATGCCGAGGAAACCAATGGTGTTGATGATGCCCCTCCAGTTACAGATAGTGACAATAACCAAGAGCATGCATCTATTGTTTCTGAAACAACGAAAGAAACAAGTGAAGATGCTACCATGATTGAGAAGGTGGATGGTGATGAAGTTCAGGTTGAGAAGAATGGCAGTACTGCAGCTGTGGACGAAGGGATACTTCAAGATGGGGTTAGCCTCAATGGTTCACCTAGGGTGGAAGAGGGGTCGGCTGTCCATGTTACTACTCTGGAAACTAATGTTACCGTAGCTGAAACTGTGGCAACTGAAGGAGCGTTAAGTGTTGAAGGCTTGCAAAACATGGAAACCAAGGATAACGAGGATTCAAAGCCCCAGTCGGAGGTTGAGGAATCCAAGTCCCAGCTGGATAGTAAGGATTCAAAGCTTCAGATGGAAATTGAAGATACACAGCCCCAGCTTGTTGATGTGAATATGGAGGCCCAGGTGAAGAATAAGAATTTGAAGTCTCAAGATGCAAATCTCGGGCACGACTCTTCTGATCCAGACAACCAGGTATCTGAGGTCAGCCCTGTTATAGGGTCTCAAGTAAGAACTGATTCTATTTCTACTGATTCTGTGACAATTAATGAAATGATTGAACTAAAGGAAAATATATCTGCTGACCATGTAAAATTAGAACTAGATGTTAAGCAGGAGATGGTGGAACCATCATCCAGCATTGTTGTCCCAGATGCTGGCGAATCACATCCAATGGATGTTGAAGAGCCACCTGTGAACAAGAATGTTGAAGAGTCACCTGCAAACAGAGATGTTCTGGAGGCACCTGTGAACAAAGATGTTGTAGATTCTTTTGTGAAAGATGTTGTACAGCCCTTTGTGAAAGAAGATGTTGAGGAGAAACATGATATTAAGGACATGATTACTGATCTTCATGAAAAACATGATGATGTAGATGTGGGGTTATCTGAAAAGCTAAATTTAGATAGAAGTTCTGGGGATGATTCAATAGAAGATGCTATGGAGATTAAAACCGATTCAGGGAATAATCCTGAAGAAATGGGAGAGAAGAATGTAAAAATTGAGGGCCCTATATCAAAAGAGGAAAAGTTTGCAGACATTGCAGTGCGAGGCTCAACTGCAGACAAGAAGAATCTTGATATAGAGAGTGACGTTTCATCTTTGCCTGCTGAAAAAAGAAAGATGCTTGGTAATGATTACTATCACACTCTCTCTCCTTTCCCCTAAGCCTGACCCAATCCTCCGAACTGAAAGGAAATAAATAAAATTATGAAGTTTTCTCAGCCTAATTAAATATTTAGGCATATAACATAAGCTCATTTTGTGAATTGTGATTTTCATTATAGATTCTCTGTCGTACATGAACTTTTCATCATTAAGATAAATTTATGTTTAGGAGCTTTGAATTAAATCTTTGCTTGTTTATAATGTTTTCTACTTATTCATATGCCAATTTAGTGGATGTTGCTTTAGTTGGGTATAATGAATTATTATTATAACCATTGACATTTATTATTTGTTCAAGAAATAATTCTGGTCAAGAACACTGCTAGCTTTCTAACAATGGAATTTATATATTTCTGGTTCTTTAGTTTTTGGATTTTCTCAGTTGATATTTAGTTTGCTGCAGTCTCTGCATTGGTTTTTCTGCAAGAATTAGGTAGCTAAATGTTGTTTGATAATGACGGAGGAAAATTTGATTTGTGCTGCCTTTCAGTGTTTGTTTGGAGTATCTAATATCAGGCAGCTAAATTGGTTATTTGTTGGGAGTATCTAATATCATAATACGCTAATACTTTTGTTGTCAAGAGTCATTACTGTGCTGTTTTTGTTAGTTTTTCTGCAATGTAGTAGTGATGAATAAAGTGTACAGTATATCGTTAATCTGGTTTAAAAAATATTGTCGGAAACATATGTGTAAATCATTTCTTTTCCTTTTTCTTATTTGTACCTCTTTTGTTCATGAAGGTCTTCTGGTATGAATTCCTTAGACGACCTAGTATTTTCTCAAATATAATCGGTAAAGGGGTGTTTTATGTCTCTGAAATCTTGTTTTCACTTGAACTGGTATTTTCTCTGACTATAGTAGTAGAATAATCTCTCAGGGATATACATTCATTTCCAGCTCAATGGACTGGTTTCTGTCTCCATATCTGTCCATCTACAGATATCTCTTCCTCAGCACCTTTTGCTGAACATCTCATGAAGCATCAGTCAATATGAGTTTTGGTGATCGATTCTCCATAGTCATCCAAATAATTCTCTCTATCCATGTTAAAATGCTCCTTTATGTTTAATTTTAGTCTCTTCAGCAAACTCCAAGTTCTGCCCAGAATGGATATCTGTATCTCAGTTTTATATATCCAAAAAAGTTGCTCATTATTGTAACGATTGAGACAAAGAATAGACCTACTATTAGCCTCCTTTTTTTTTCTGGACAAGCATTGCATATAAATTTTCCTAGTTAACCTTGTAAGATGAATTTTGGTCATCTTGTGTACTCGTTGCTGCAAACTTCATTCTCCGGGGATTCAAATAGTAAGATTTTTTTTGGGTATTCTAATCTCCTTAATCTTCCAAGCCAACTTCTGTCTGTAAATTCATTCATCAAAATCATGATTTAACTTGCCTAATCCAATGTTCTTTGATATATGTCTAATGCAAGGAACAAAGGAAAATAAGTTCTGGTCATTCTTGTAATCAATGAGTTGTAGTGAGGGAAAGGTGTCTTGACAAATTACTTGGCAGGTAAGCTCTGATAGGAGGCTGTTTATAGAAAGAGAGATGGATTTATGGAGGGGGTGTTAAATTATTCGTGTTAATAATTCATTTACATGCCCTTTTAGTATGTAGTGTTCTCTTTTATTCCAATGGGTTTTTTTTTTTCCTTGAAAAAGAGATAGGTTACAACGGAGCCATTTTCATTTGCACCTTGAGGATATGATTGTAGGAGGGTAAAAGGGTAACCCTAGGCAGGTTAGCAAGGAGACAAGGAAGTTAGCCACGATAAAATTTCATGAAGTTATCCACTATTCATCAAGTTACAACATTTTGAATTTGTATTTCATCTGATGTGATAGACTGTTTAAGATCAGTTGAAAGTTAAACGTACATTTTTTAGTTCCCAAGTCTGTGTTGTATGACACACAGTGCCTCCTAGGTTTTCCCTGTTTAACAGAAAAAATGATCCTTCTCCCTTTTGCGCAAATATTTGTGTCTGGCTCAACAGTAATTTTGTTTTTTTCTTTAAGGGGTTCGTAAATTGGGTTGGGGCTTAAGTACTTGATGTGCTGTTTGATTGGGGGACATGAAATTCTTATTTATTATTGATTCAATTGAAGAACACTATAATGCATTGAATTTTCTTCAAATG